CAGGAGCCCCTAGTAGCGTCCTTGCTCCTAGTAGCGATGCCAGGAGCGCCTAGTAGTAACAAGGCAGATTCTGATTCATTCGCATACTTTTGGATGATGAAGAGCCATCACCACAGGTGAGAGTTCGCATGATTCATCCAGTTTGAGTTTAGCCACGTTTTTTTCCATTTTTTCCCTGTGGCACCACCTCTCAAACAATGCCGAGCCGGTTTCGCTTTTGGGTCGTGGGTCGAGCCGAACGAGGACCACGATGAGTCCGTTCAGGGAGGACCATGGGTTCGTAGGACCCGTCTTGACGGCGTGCCGCGGCTGGCCTTCTTGCCGGCGTATCGCCCCTGATGGCATGGCATGGAAAGAAGGGATGGCATGGCATGACTGCATGGAGGCTCCCACCGGCTTCAACTTGACATGTCAAATGAGGGAACACTTCAAGGATCTGCAAAATAATGCAAAACTTACCAACGCCAGCAGAAACCAAATCAACAAGAGCCTTTCCCAAGTCAACCATGTTCCGAACAACGCCCATTCTACAAAGCCAACCTGGGGCTGCTGCAAACGCATATGATTTGATACACTACCTTCAGAAAACTTGTTGCTCCGTTCCCTCTCAGAAAGATATCGACCTGTTGTCGAAGCACTTGCCCAAACAAACCAAATCAAAGCCGAAGACCCTGGACTCCTAGACATCCCTCGACCGCCTCGACCCCCAACGCCTGCAGCATGACCACAATCCGACCAGCCTTTAGGAACTTGCCTCAGTCACTCACATCGCACACCATCACATAGTGACCAAGCTCCTACCACTGCCTCACTGTTGCATCCCTCACTACGTGCCTCATAGAAGAGAGATGAAGAGAGCACAAACTGAAACCATCTACAACAGGTTCACAAAGGGATATCCAGTCAAGACAAGACCACGCTCTGACTCTGTGTTTTGGCAAAAGTCCCTTTAGAGAAGACAAAACATCATCCGCACCAGTGCCAACTAGGGAACACTGGTTGTCGAAGGGGCACATCCCGGATACACCCCGGATGTACTTCAACAAGCACTCTACAAACCAGCGGAGTGCCATTGTCATGTGACATGGTGTTCGACCTTCGTTGATTCTTCGTTCGACGCTTTCGGGGTTGGTGGGCTGATCGCGTCGTTCAGCAGCTGATCGCGCTGATCGTCACCCTGATGCGAAACAAGTCACCCATCGTCGCTGCGATCGGCGCGGCGCCCTACGGAAAGGTGTCCCCCGAGTGGCTGAGCCTTGAGCCGAGCCTTGCGGTTCCGACGCCTTCCGCCCATGAGCTCGAACAGAGGTTTCCCCGCTGAGTTTGATCAAAAACATGAGACATCCTATGAATTTCTATGGTTGCTATGCAACTCCTGGAGGCTCTCCTGGAGTTATTTCTTCTGCCAATTTCGTCTGGCCTGAATCTAGCTCCAAACTGTAACAGAGCACCATTGCGACTGGTGGGTGCCAACATGAACAGCATGAACTTCTTCCTCACTCAGCTCAGCCTCTAGAAAGCGATTGAATTCATCACCCCGTCTGTTCTCTCGTCTGTTCTCTCGTCGTTCTTGTCGCCCGTCTGTCGCTGTCAGTTGCCTTGGCTTCGACGTCTTTCGGACCATCGGACGAACGACGGACGGAGAGACCGAGCGACCCAAAGAAACCGAAGCCTTTCCGAAATGGATCTCCGTAGCACCGGAAAGCGACCAGAATGAATTCTGTCTGAACATTTCATCTGGCGGGTGCCATTTCGCTTGGTTGATCCAAACAGTCCTCACTCTGGATTCTTGGGCGTCAGTCCTCGTCTCATTGATACAGCTTCAGGCCTTTCTGCCAGGTCACGTTTTCTCTTCGTGGGGACCTAGAGCGGAGGAGCGGAGCATCTCTCAGGAACATGCTTGAAGGTAGCCTACTGGTACAAAGAGGAATCAATAGAGGCCTCAAAGAATAGACCGTGACCAGACAGAACAACAACCGGATTCATACGGAAGATACCTGTTCTGTGAGATCGTTGAACTGGCAGATTGGCTGGCACAGTGCAGTCCCCCTGCTCATCTGTTTGTCTTTGGCTTCAGCACAAGGCCTCGCCCCGCTTCCGTGGGACAGTGAGTGGATGGCTGGCTGTTCCTTGAACCTGTCACTTCGGGCCAGGTAGTCCATGTCGCTTAATGATGCGTCCTACAACCGCATTGTTCCCAACCAGTTTGGCAGCGGCCGGCTGCTAATGTGAAGCTGTGTGGACTTGTGCATGGTGGAACATGCAGTGCCCAACCATTCGAAACACGGAACACGGACATGGATCACATCTGAGCACAAGTGTTTCCTTCCCTGCTTTGATCAATTTGGGTTGAAGTTCGACCCCCCTTCCCCATCATAGTCAGATCACGGGTCATAGAAACGTGCTGACTCAACGCGGTTTCCGCGCGGGTTTCCGAACCCCGCGCCGGCCACGCGCGCGGTTTCCGCGGAGACCGTCTCGGAGCCCGGGCAGAGCAAAAGTCCAAGCCCTCCTGCCTCGACCGAAAGCCGACTCGGTTGGTCGAGGGTCGCAAAGAATCGGTCGTTCCACCGATCTGGTTTTCGTCGATCCGTGGGGAAAAGCCAATTCCCCAAGGTTACGGTTACAGGTTTTTCCACTGATTGGGTAGGCCTCCTTTTCCTACTTTTACTGTGGGAAGCATGAGTGTCACATGTGGCCCGGGAAAAAGCCTCCAGGTTGAGACCTTCAACGGCGCTATGCGGCCAGGCATTGCACATATTGGCCTAGCAGGTGGCCTAGGTGGCTAGGTGGCCTAGCCATTTTTCATGTATCAAGTATCTTGAAACCACTCGCCCTAAATATATACATCATTCGCACAAAAATGCAAAAGCACTCTGTCTGTGAGGCACACTTCCGGGAGCTGCCAGGAAAGTTGCACAATGTGAGGCAGCTTGCCCCGCAATCAGCATGCATCCAACGACGGCAGCACTGGCTCAAACTTCCAGGGCCCCGAGATGAAACATGTGCTGGCATGAGCCATGTCCTCTAGGATCGTCCTTCCCCTTCCCAAACACGAATGGTCTGCAACTAGACCCAAAAAGACCCTTCCGGTGAATGTGTGCTTCCAGCGCTGTCATCCAGTTCAGCTTGGTTCTGTTCCAAGCGCCAAGATGCATTTCCCACAGGTGCATGGCCACGAGCTCTTGGCTCAGCGACTCGTGCCTGCAGGACTTCCAAGTTCCGGTCAGGGAGTTTCTCGGTTGTTTCACGCAGAAGGACAAATTTATGAAGAAAAGGGCTATATATATATATTATATATAAAGATGGCTATATAAAGGTCAAAAAGAAAACAAGAAGAAACAAAGCAACATTGTTACAATGAAAGGCATGACATAAATCACAGAAGAACAATGTAAGAGATAAACAAAATTAAGACATACATGGGGCAACTCGAGGGGCATGAAGGCCGCCGTTCTTGGATCCTTAAGCCTTAGTGACATTATTGGCCATGTCACCAAAGGTAGTAGGGCAGCAGGAATTGGTCTCGCTGAATGTCATGCGACCTGAAAGGCTGCGCTGCTGATGAGAAAACAACATACCCACCACCCATCATAAGCCACCACAAGGGCTAGCCCGATGCTCAAAGGCAGATGTTTTCAGCCATGTTCTCATAAGAATCATCATGAACCCCTCTTTCAGGCCATCCGGCGTTCACACATCCAAAGCCATCAGATCAAGGGCACGGCTGGAGGCCACATGCAGTGCATGCAGCACTGCTGCTGCTACCTGGCTTTAGCTGCCTCAAAAATCCCTGTCAATATTCTCACTTAGGGGAAGGTTCCCGATTCGGAAAGGTTCGACATGGGAAGCTTTCACGAGGGCCTACATCATGCTACATCCGTCCGTCGTCATTCTTCTTGGACGTTCTTTTTGGCCCAGCGGCATCTTGTAGGTCTTTTCGAAGGCCGTCTTCACAGCTTGGGCCCTCTTGTGCTTGAGATTTCTTGCCTCGAGGCACCATTCCATAGAGGAGGCACCGCCCGAACCCCAGGTCCAACGCATCAACAACTAGGGGAGGGCTTTCGTGTGCAGCTTCAGCTAGTGGGCCCAAGTATCCTGTAAACCCCCAACATTAAGAAAGACCTTGGCAAGAGCTACATCACGCTGCATTCCAGTTTGACCCACTCATTGGTTTGAGGATCATGCTCAACACCCGTCATCTGCAACAACGGAATTTGGACCAAGGGGCGATGATGCAACTCTCATAGTAGTGAGGCCTCGGGCATGCCATGGTCACATGCAAAAGGATGTAGAAACATGTCCAACTGTCTAGGACTGAACAAGTGGGAACCCCTTTGGTGGCCATAGTTTGCCTTGGGATGCATGCCTTGCTTTGGCCGGTTTCTCGTACTTTCGTAGTTGAAGAAGGCCCCGCGCCTCGCAGCACTCAGGTTTCACGTGCTCCGAGACGCAATCGTCTGGTAAGAAGAAACGATACTTTATAAGGTCAAAAAAAACGGTTAACGTATGCGCATGTGAAAGCCCGCCTTGCTTTGCAGGGCTCCGACTTGACCACTCCGGTGATCCCAAGGGAAACAGACCAAGCAGACTCCCAAGTCAGACATCATGTGACCAGTGAAGGTGACCTACCTGAACGTGATGCCCATTCAACATCAGAACCGTTGGACACGGGCATTCGGACGAATGCAGCTGATTGATGCTTGGACACTTGCTCAGATGCCTCCAAACAACGGAAGTCCCAAACCCTGGCGCTAGTGAGTCTCTTGCAAAGCTCTGGACAATGCAGCTAGGCCCGGCCAAGGGGGTTGTCCGACCCTCATTTGCTTCAACCGAACTGACCCAGACCTGAAGCGCCGCCACTCGCCAAGCAAAGACACGGTCTGAAGGGCCTCTGGCCATCGTGCATAGAAGTCATGAGCTCCTGATGCTTCGCCGATTCTGCTGGATGTAGCTTTTGGATGGTTACCGGGATCTGCAAATTCACACTTGAAAAATCAGCTTCCCCATGAATATTACATAATATTATTCTCTGAAGATCTCTGAATCTCTAACTTGGGACCTCCCCAAATTGCTCCAATACTTCTTCCGCTCCCAAGTTCGGTGTCGCGCCATTTCTCCAAAAAAGACCTGCTCGGTGAGACAGCGGTTCGTGACTTCTCTCTCGGCTCAGCGCTGGATGAACTGCATCGAGCTAATCGCGCCCAAGAAGAAGACGGTGGGGATCACGAGGGCGTGGACCGCCAACCAACGGAAGGTGAAGATGGGATAAGCCACCTGAGATGAGGACAGAACTGTTGAGATACAGTGAGGCCCTTAGGGCTATATAAGGTGCGCTTGCACATTGCTCAAAGCTCTGCAGAAAGGAAGGCAAGGAAGACCCTACGAATAATGGAAGTTAAATGTCTGACACAATCACCAGACGAAAATAGAGCTTCCAAAAGTTCTTCAATATGACTCCAAGGCCACTGGGGTCCTGGCCATCTCCGCGGCCCTCACTGTGCTGCTTCTTCGGGCTGCAGCGCTCACGGCAGCAGCGGCGTAGCCCAAGCTGACGCCGAAGCAGATGGAGCTACCGACAGTGGCCTCCATCGTGGAGTCACTCGCAGAAGCGCCCTGCACTGGCACCGCCTTCTGGGGCTGTGCCGCATGCGTGCTGGGTGCCACGAAGGCAACCGCGCCCGTGAAGAGAGCGAAGAAGAGGACTCGCAACATGATGGGAAAAAAAGGTCTGTGCGAGAAACGCACCCCAAGATGTGCTCGAGCCGAAAGAACCTACAGGTCTGGCCGTCACTTCTAGGAAAAACAGAGTGAATTGAGATTTTCAAGCAGGCAAATTGTTCAACCAAAGCAGTGTTTCCAGCATCATCGTGATGAAACACTATACGAGTCCATCATATAGTCCAAGACGCAACGTGTGTTCATCACTGCACCAGCAGACCGTCCTTCCACTGCTGCACGTTGCGCCGCGACGAGCTCACGTACTCCGGTCCTCGAGAAGATCGCCGGAAGCCAACGAAAGATGGATGAATCAAGGGAAAAGAAGGGAAACACCATGTAAGTAATATAGGTAGAGGTATACCAAAGGGATGAAGGGATGTGTGAACTTCATCCAGGGATGAGGTATAGAAGGGTCAAACAAGGGTCGCAGGGTCGCTGGCTCGGCGCCGCAGCCCTCGGCAACAGGTGAGGTTGACATGCTATGACCGTTCACTTCTTTGGCCGGTGCAGCTGGCGGGCCTAATGAAAGAATCAGCGAGCGAATTGACAGAGACCTCCCAAAGAATCCCTGGAAGAAGGTGAAGTAGACCAAAACCCATGAGGCCACGGGGGGTCCCCCTTTTGAAAAACACCTTTTTCAGGACACGCACACCCATATGGGGGCCATTTCCACTGCCATTCCGTTCGATCGATCGGACTTCCGAGTAGAAAAAAAACAAACCTGCGAAAAACGTTGATTGGACCTACCAGGTACCTACCAGACCTATGTGTTTACTGTTTTTGTGTTTACTTCATGTTTTACTTAGTTGCAATCAAGGCACTTTTGGTCAACATGTCATCCATCTCCCACAGCATGCCTCATGTTGGCCGGGCTGAGACCCTGCCGCCATCATGTGAAGCCAAAAGGCTTGGATCACCACTCTACGGAGGAGTGACGTGTCGGCACACCCAATGAGTGCTTGTGCTGCTCAGCTGAAGCGGCAGAGAGACGTCTAGAAGCTGAAGCCGCACAGCAAAGCAGTACAGGTACAAGCAGGAACGGAGTGGCTTTGCTGCTCAGCGGCATTTGAAGGCATCTGCATTGCAGTCTCGCCAATACCATTTGAGCATTAACAATGGCCTCGACGCGGCAAGAAACGTCCATGAAAATTGTGGAGACTCTCTGGCCTTCGAACCTCAAGATGTTGGGCGGCGGCTGCCAAATCGGGCCCCCAAATCATCCGGCTAAAAAACCATTCATGGGGAACCGTGCACTTGGAGTCACGCGAAACCCAAATCAATAAAATAATATATAAAATACATTAAAACACCCCGCGTCTGGGTCACAATTTGCCCAAATAGGTGCCCCAATGGTTCTTCAATGCCTCGGTGGCTAGAAAAGCACCAAAAAACAAAAGATCTCGATTCCAGATAGGCACAACCGCCGTGAAAAGCCGTGAAAAAGAAAAACGCCAAAGCACTTGTCTTGGTGATCTTGGAGAAACTGTGGCAACTTGTCCAGATTGATCGTCATGTCGTGATCCTTGCTCGAGGCGGTATGAGGGGATCAGGCGAGGTGAAGATGGCGATCATGTAGACGCTTGATGATCGTTCACCCCCTCCGAGCCTCAAGAGGTCTCACAACGTCTGTGCCAGGCTCCGCTACAAGTTTTGGGGTGGACCAGCGACAGAAAATCTGATAGGTGTTGCTTTTGGTATGAGCATCGTGCTTCTCTGAAAGCCGCAAGCGATGGCATTGAACTATATATGTAATTCTAAAGCAAGGACTGGACTGGTTTAAACGGAATACTGTACATGACCTACAAGCTGTGGTGCTTTGCTTTGACCCTGCCAAAGCTTGGGCCCAGCTGAGTCTCATATCCAATCAGCCAGTCATATCTCCTCAGGCGCACATGGAAACCCCTACAGCACCCACACATCAGCAAGAAAATGCAAGAAATCTGCACAAAAGCCGCCCCAATCCATATCGCGAATGCTGTTGAGAATCTATCTAAAGCCGGTCAAAACAAGTCTCTGCAGGACCAAGTCTCTGCATCCATCGAGGAGGAGTGAACTTCAAGAACTTGGAAGTTAATCTCTCCTTGGGGACGACGTGAGCAGTGTATTGTATGCTGCGAATATGCCATCTAAGCGGCATACGGCATACATTAGACTAATTTCTTATAATTTCTTAGGAAAAACATGGGTGCGAACACAGTTCCATCATTGCATGCGGAGCCAAAACATGAAAACGATTGAAAACTTATCTTTGTGGTGTGGATCTGTTGATGACAAGGAAAGTGGTCAATTGCCCTCCTCAAAGTTTGTTGCAGCCAAACAAACTCATCATCTCGTTGGCGGGCTGTTGAGAGTGACCCTCCTTCTGAAAGCTCGAAAGCTCCCAATATCAGAGACAGCTCGGCATCATAGTGCAACCAGGAATCTGCAGAGACCTCAACGGCGCTCGCAATTTTGGAGCGGAGCTTGAGCTCTCTGCGGGTGATTAGAGGCGAGCTGTGCAGGGTCTACGCCAAAACATCCTCCGCAACAATCACCAAACACACCCTCTGTAAGGTATGGGCCAAGAATAATTGCAGTCAAGTGTTGCCATGTGAGATCCAAGGCAAACAATACTTTTCAACGGCTGTTCTACATGTTCATCTCGGTTCTGGTCTGATCAGCTTTTTGATTGGGAATGTTATAATAACTTACTATAACACCTCTGAAGGTTTGAGCGAGGGACATAGCGGGTACCTTTCTGCAAGGCCACTCGCTTGATGTGCCAGCCCTGATGCTTCCAATGCGCCAGCGCAGCCTGCGGAGTGACTTCAAATGAGTGCGCTTCTACCTGTAGAATGATTCTGCAGGAAATGGAAAATGGAAATCAACTACAGTCCCTACAGTACTCGGTACTCAGGCATGACTGGGCTTTCGATTTTACGCAATTACATTCCTCCATGTAAAGGCCAGGCCAAGGCCCACACAGAGATGACATACGTACATGTTCTTGGGCCGTGGAGAAAGGACACCTCTCGGCTGCGCCTTGGGAGCCTTCAGCAGGGTGACATCATCCAAGAAAAGGAAAGCATCCACCTCAGTCACTGCGACCGACCACGAAACCCTGATTTGAGAGCAAAGGATGACCAGGTGGAGGATGAAGCTGTCTGGTTTCGTATATCCTCGTACCAGGTCGTGCCAAAGGTGATGGATCCTTTGATGAATTGACCCCTCTTCGACCTAAAGCTGCCCTCTTTGAGGATGCATTGAGGAAAAACCTTTTCAGCATCGAGAGCATGCCCCGTTGATGCTCAGTCCGTTGAGAATTCATCTTCTGCGAAATGCCACTTTGCTTCTGGGAGTCGTCCAGTCCATCTTCACAAGCACGGAGCCTCTAAGACCAAACGCAGATCAAGTCCTGCTTCGTGATCCAAAAGGCCTCTTCTGAATAATTGGCAGCATGATTCAGCATGCATCAGCATTGAGTCAGCATATGTTAAGACAACACCCCACAAAAGGAAAGAATTGTTTTGTGCTTGTCATTGGCCAGGGGCCGGGACAGACCTTCTCGTACGTTCGCCGAATCCCAAATTCTACAACTCGAGACTCGTCGTGCGGCCCAACCATCAGTCTGTTTTCTCCCAAAAGCCCCTCCAAATCCCAACCCTCGCATTGAGGCAAGCATCCTCTGTTGGGGCCTCAGGAGGAAAAAAGAAGCACCGCTGGATGTCTCATGGATTTCCAAGGCAAAGCATTGCGTGCGCAACCTGAACACAGCCCTGCTGAACCTTGCCTACATGCCACTTAGACCTTAGCCGCGGAAGCAGCTTCCATACGTGCGCAAACCCCGAAACCGCATGCAATACCACCGCTACGACACGGTGCCGACCGTCCAAGGAGCACATGGCACCTGAAACGCTCGCGGCTCTTCATATCCACCCAGATTGTAAGTATACACAGCGATACCTGCCAGCATTCCTGTTTTCCAATGGAAAACGCAAGATCCGAATACACCGAGAAGTCTTGCGTCTCGTTCTTTTCGTGGTGGTGTTGCGTCAAAGTTCAGGAGTATGGCACAGGGCTGCAAACAACCTGTGGAGAACCTGCTCTACGAAAAAAATAGAAAAGGACCGATGAGTACTTGTTCCTGTCCTTGATGAATGTCATGCTTCCTGTCCTTACTGTCCTTACATCATTACAACCAAAAAAGACACGTTGCTTAACAAATGGTGAGCTTTCGTACGAGGTCTTTGACACGCATCAAGGCATATCAAGGCCCTGCTGGGTGGCCCTGCAAGGCCCTGCCCCTTCCCCTCCTTCAAACAAATCAACGAACTCTTTGGGATGTATCCTGAACATGTTCATTTATCATTGTTTCCAAAGAAAAATCAACGAACTTCGGATGGGCTATCACGCTTGTCCCGCTTCGGTCTCGGAGAGGACTGGCGCACGTGCGGTGCGCGGCCGGGCTCGCTGCGGCGTGGGGCAGCGATGATTGGCCCTGAGGGGACGACAACGAACGTGTCGCGGCATCTTTCGGGAAAAGCTCAAGGGATTTCAAGGGATTCTGGCACTCAGTAGGTTGGAGGCCATCGCTGGGTTGGAGGCATGATCTCCAAGTCTATGATATATAGGTATGATTCATAGCCTATGATATTCTCAGATCTAGTTTTCATAGGTATTATTCTATGACATTCTAGCAGCTAGCAAACACTATTCTCATTTCTTCCCAGAAAGCTCATCCGCTACGCTGCTACGTCAAACAACGCCTCAGGCCACAGGGATGAACTCCTGAGCCGAGCTGTAGAAAGTCAAGCCTCAGAAACGAGGTCGCACTCCCTCCCTGTCGAACGACCGGGAAGACCACGATGTCGGTAGAGAGGTGCGAGGAAACTTACCGGGCTACCTGGAGCAAAATATAGACCCCTAAACAAACAGAAAAAATTAGAAAAAGTAGATCCCCCATAGTCAAAATGTATTGGAAAGTATGTACAAACCGTGCCAGTATCTATTTGGGGACCACTATACTATACCCATGGTTTCTCCGTGCTACAGTAGTTAGTTGCTCAAGAAGAAAAAATATGTGTGAATATTTGTGAACATTTTTTATCAAATATTCACAAATTTTGGGGCGGAAGGTTTGCCTTCTACCCTTATTTTGTCCCTACCGGAAAGAGTTTGCCCGACTACTCACGCACTTATCACTGGAAGTCCAAAGTGGGGCCCCTGAATATCAATCAAGAAAAGCCTCAAATTGGGGCCTTCCATTGACGCAACATCCACGGAGGTGTCTTCACCTTTGTGCTAGCCTTGGCGGTTTCTTTGGTCCATCCATCTACAGTATATAATATAGCTTTGGATATCCACAGGTGTGGTGCAGGGACCAAATGCTTCTTCTTGGGCGGAAAGCGCCACCGGGACACGGCCACATGTCCGAAGCATTCGCTGCAAAGGTGGCGTTCACGCTGCTCGCGTCTGTAGTCGTCGTCCTGCAGTCGAGCCCCAGACTCTAGCCATGGCTCAGTGACACTCAGTGATGCGCAATATGAAAGTCTGAAAAGACCTATCTAAAAGTTGGGAAGAACAAACGAGCATTTCGTCACCAGACTGTCTCAGAGTCTTGTCCATGTGGACTCATTCAGAGCCCCACTCATCTCGACGCATCAACGGACCTGGCCCCAGGCTTGTGGCGGGGATGCTGGGCGTGTGGCTGCGAAGAGTGAGTATCAGCTCACCATGCCGTGTGTTCTGTTGATCACATCTAATCCTGGCTCTATCTCACCATTGAACATGAAATAGAATAGATTCTCGGGTCCCCATCACATGTCTTCCGCTTTTTCCGCGGTTGCCCCATCACATAGCGCTGTCAGCCGGACGGTCCGGATCCATTACCAATGGTCCCGTCCCACCTGCCACGGCTGGCACCAAGATGAAACGCCAGAGGATACGCCATCGCCTCAGGTCCGGCAGGTCCGGCGCTGGTCCGCTGGTCACCTCCAAGGCTCGGACACCATGTGCAGCCCCTGACGAGAATGAACTGCTTGGAAGAGACCATGATCTGAGCCCCAAAAAAAAGGTCCAAACGCGGATGGTCTCCATCGCTTGACCAATCGAAAAGACCTACTGTATGTAACGTGCTTCTCCATGCATCGATTTCGGTACTTGATGCCAGGTTCAATGCGTGGACAAGTCTGCAAGGCAAAAAGGATTCTCTCCTTTTGCTCGGCGCTGGCGACCTTCTTTGGCCGAGACGAGACGCAGAATCAAAGGGCACGTTTCTGCCCACGTCTTCTCTCCTGACGCTCGTGCGTTGGCGTTGGCGTCTCTCTGGGACAAATCTTTGAGAGTTGAACCTTAAGTGATATTTCGTGGCTCTGTTAAACCTGTTAATTATGTTTTCATGTCCAAGGGGCCTGATCATCCTCATTCATCTTCTGTTGCGACAATAGGTATGGACATTGCACCACATTGCCACAAAGGGGCCTTGCTCATTCGCTACTTTCTTCTCTCACATTCAATGATCTGCATTTTTCTTTGTTGGGGGTGCTCCTCGGTCTACTGCTGTCTGATTTGTTGGTTGATTCGCAACCGAATGTGTATACCCTCGAACTGTCGCTTGCTTCTTCCCGAGACCCGTCGCCAGTTCTCCTCGATTGCTTCCATGTAGGGCGCAGCGATTGGAGGGGCAACGGGTTGCAACACCTTCCAAAAGATCGAATGCGACCGTCCCTGGCCTGGGGGCATGATAAGGACACAATTGTCTAGGAATTCGGTGGTCGAATCTTGGGAACTTAGACTCTCAACAATAAGGTCGTCTGAATCAACCGTTTTCGATTTCATCTTCTTGGGTCTTTGCTTGGTGTCGACTGGCCACCGGGTAGTTCGTGTCCTCAGTCGTCCGGAAAAAGAGGGTCAACTACGGTCAACTACTGCTCTACTTAGAAATAAAGAGTAGACTAAGTGTATATATATATATTACAGTATGTAATATATATGTGTGTGTATGTGTGTGATACTACTTCGGCTCAACTACTTCTAATTATTTTAACTCCTTCAACTACAGTAGTTACCATACTACACCTAACCTTCTTGCGCATAAATTTCAGCCTATTATGGGTAAAAGGTGCCCTTTTCAGAGCTGCGGCGTTCTTGTTCCCAGTAGGATCCTGTAGACGTTCTTGCCGTCTTCGGATGTCTTCGGGGAAATGCTCAAATAGATAAGGATCCACCCACTGCTGGTTCCAGGAACTCCCCTTGTCGTGATGATTACCCTAAAAAAACCAGAAACGACGCAGGCACATTGTGCTTATGAGGATTTCACGACTAATGCTTCACCTTTGCATCTGTCTGTGCTATTATATAGATGTTATTAGTGTTTTCCAATTGTTTCCATGTTATTTCAGTTGTCCTCTCATGCGCTAAGAGCGCTCTTCACTTCGGTGTTCTTCTACCGATTCGATGCATCTGCCTCTCCTCTCCATTCGATCCGATTGCGGGCGAAGTCTCGGCATCCAGGCTATCACCTCTGAGCGGCGGATCGTCGAACAGGCTGGCAACGGGCGTCATCGCTCGTTGCGCGGAGCTAGAGCGTCGAACAAAGCGACACAACGAAGCGAAGGAATGCAGGAGGGCAAGTCGAACAAACGCTGAAAACGACCGTTTTTTGGTACACCAATGCCATGCCATGCAAGAATGGAATGCCAGGCGCGGTCCGGAGGTTGCAGCGACGCAACCAAACCCCAAAATCGCCAAACACAGCGTCCGTCCCAAACCTTCATTGCAGCACCCATGGGGCATCTTTACCATATGCACTGCTTTAACCACCCCAAACTCTGGAAGGGCCATATCCCCCGATGACCTCCACTGTCGGGTGATTCTGATGCGACCACGGCGCTCCCTCCACAAGCCACGAAGCGCGCTTGGTGCACCGGGCGCCCAGGGCCTAAATCACAAAGCTCCTCATGAGCTGAAGCGTCGTAGACCTCACCGGTCCGTGGCTGACAGCTGAGAACTGGCCGGCTTTCCATGAGTTGTCTGTCAGAACCCAGCAGGGCTAATCACCAAACCAGCCTGAAAGTGGGTGGGAACGCGTCTAGCAAGTTGTACTTCTGGCCTTTCATCCAGCCAGGGAGCAGTCAAGGCCTTTGCTAAGTAGCCACGGCAAACCTGAGATGAGCAGGCAAGTCTGGCCTCTGTCAAGCCTCTGCATCTGTGCAGTAGAAGTCTCACGCCTACCATATACAATCTATAATCTATATCATTATCATACTGTACCATACTTTAGCCCACGCCCCGAACTGCCAACAAAGGAAAATCATTTGTTTCGGGTCGACTGTAGCTGCAACTGAGGCTCCACAAAGGACTCCTGACTGCTGTTTCTCGAGGCGCGCGGCTTGCAACAAAGCACCTCCTGAAGACGTGCACTTTTCAGAGCGACATCTTGCTGTTCCGTGGTCCACAAATGCTTCAGGCAAGTTCAGGTTTTCAGTGTATCCCAGACACTACCTGTATGCCATATATGCCGCCCCATTAGGGTGGTGCCAGGGGGGGCCAATGGGGCGGCAGTCCTATGGCAGTCCCATTAGTCGTGTCTGGGTATAATTCGTCCGGCCGTTTCTTGGTGTGGGGTCGAATGATCTCAACCTTACTTTTGGCTGAACAAGCATCACAGAACGGGATGCCTTGTGTATAATCATGCCTTGTGTTCTCTGAAAGGAGGCGAAGACCTTTGGAAAACACTCTCGCGGCGAGTCCGGAGCGTTCGGGCCGCGAACCGTTCGGGCCGCTCTTGCCGGCTTTGTTGCACCCCCTTCTGGTGGCCCGGTGAGTGCAACGGAAGGTGCTTCGACCTGCAACGGGTAGGTAGGACTGTGCCGAAGTCATCCGAAGTCATCAGTCTAACCCCGTGGTCATCTACGGGTGCGAGCACTGTGGTCCTGAAAATCGCGTGCAAGTCGAGCATAAAGCTCCCCTGAGTGCTCGCCTGAAGGCGAGGTCGAATCGTAGGCGGACGAAGTGTCTGCGTCTAGGCACTCGTGGCCAACTAGTCACTGCAAGTCTAGGCAACGCAGTTCTAAATTCGGCCAGTGACAAATCCCTATCATCCTGAAGTGGTATCGGTGAAGAACATTCAGGTGATCACATGCAAAAGGCGATGGTTGCCCAAAACGGTTCATCAACAGGGGTCTTGGCATGGCTGACCAATCGTCGCCGACCTGTTTTGATCCAGAGTCATGGAACCCAACACGTCTTGGAACCCAGCACACTGCCCCGTTTGGTCTCCCAGCAGTCGCATGTCGATGTTCAAAAAGAGAACGTGCGGCTAAGGGGGGAAGAGAGCATCATGCAAACAGTTGATGCACAAAGCCCCCCCCTATACACCGGTGAAAAAAATCACGGAACGGAAAACTAGTTTCGGCATATTTAAACATGGAACTCGTTTCACCGCAACTCCTGGGGAATTGGCATTGCAACTTGTTTCGGTGGACAGGCAGGTTTGAGGCACCCTGCAAAGTTAACATAGAATATGTTTTATGCCCGTGCTACTCCCTCAGATGGCCTTGGGAACATCCTTGTTTGAGGATCGCAAATCTAACATGAAACGGGGGGGGCACCCAGAATTCTAGGGTCAAATGGTCCACGTTAAATTTGGCCCTGACTGATACCAGGTCCACACAAGGTTATCAACCGGAGGTTTACTGCTTTGCGCAAATTTAACATGGAACGTGCAAAAATGCACTTATGCACCCTGGCACTAACATGGAACTGAATCGGAAAATCTCATTTTTTTCATCGAGATGTTTTTTTTCCCCGGAGTATACCAGATTGATTTTATTAATGCTTTACAATGCTTTACATCTCCAGGCCGGCCTCGGGGTTTATGAATCAACATGAATCAACTGTCTACTAGCTACGGGGAAGATCGGGAAGTGAGGAGAGATCCTCTGGCCCCCCAGGGCAAGATATCGTCACGGTCGCTGACAGTCGCTTGAGAGGATGATGATGTATTGCCCCTCATGTTTCGCCCCAGTTCAGTAGGGAATACAAGCCAGTCCGGGAGGTCTTCGAATTCGGCAAGTTGCACCCGACTAAATGGCCAAGTTCATGAGCTTCAATAACTTCTGTGGCGAGCCATTGCATGCCACAATGAAGCAAAGCCAAGAAATCTTCTCTTGTGACTCTTGTGCACATATCTATGTAGGCGTATCCAAGTTTCAACATCCTAACACCAACCATCTCTCGTTGCTGTGGCATGGTTGCACCTCTCAGGAAGTACAGTAGTCAGTAGCTGAAGCTCATCTAAGCCATCACACTGACTCCAGCAAGCTGCAAAGCCAGTGGCTCATCAAGGTATAATGATGGTCACAGCACTTCTCACGTCCTGATACAATGCCACATATAATTATTGGGGCCACTAAGCCCACTAAGTCACAATGCGTTTTGTTTTCGCCAATCATTGAAGATCAGAAACAGACCAGCCACGCCACTGGACAGCTGGTGTTCTGATTGAAAATGCGTCGGAGACACCCCACCATCCGCCACAGTCTCCACAGTAGCAGACACACTCACTTTGTTTGTGGGGTCCCCTGGATAGGTCCCCTGACGCCCGTCTCCTTTTTCAGGATGTGGAGACGTCGAAAGCAAACATCGCAAA